TTTGTACGCTCCCCTATTTACCCGGCCCCCAACTAAACATAACACAAAATGATTTGTTAAACCAAATCCTTGACCTGGCCCTAAATGTCCCCGCCAATTTGGTTTTTTTTATCCCCCCCCCCCCCCCCCCCCCCCCGCGCCCTAAAATCTTTAAGCACGCCCGTCTCCCGATATGATAGCCCTATGGCCTTGGCTAGCCTTCGACAGCTTTCCTCAATCGCCATTTGGAAGGCTTTGGTTGCCCACCTTTGTGTAAGGTCTCGAACGCCTTTTGCGATACAGATCCGTCAGGGCGTACAAGACCTCTCGAGACGATATAGTCACGAGGGCCAGCAGGAGGAACAAAACCATAATAGCAATGATGACGAGGGCGAAGACTGAGAAGCCCCGAGACACCTTCGAAAAGGCCTCCCACGAAGCGTCTGACTCGATGAGGTCCTGCACGGCTAGGACGACTTGCATGGCGCTGAGTAGCACAGAGAACAGCGCAAAGAGGAAGAGAATCGGACCATAGAAGCGGGCAAAGTAGGCACCGTACTGCCCCTCGACTTTGTGGTAGGTGAGACGGAAGAGGAGGATCTTGGACCAGAAATTCAGCCGCGAGAGCCGCAGTTCTCCGTAGTGATAGCGCGGAGAGACCATGCCGTTGTCGACGGTTTCAAAGGATTTGATCAGGCTGACGAAGCTCGCGTACCTGACTCGCTTCGGAAGCAGGCGGTGGTCCTCGTGCATGGCGAGATGGAAATCCGACCTGTGCCGCACGAGCCAGGCATATGACCGTAGAAACCCGAGGGCCGCCCTTTTCAGGTCACTCCGCAGGGGGTCTTGGATCGGCGAGGTGGCCGAGACCAAGTAGAACTCCCAGAAGGCATGCGAGAGAAGATATTTCGGCAACGGCTTGATGAACACGCGGTCATAGTACCAGACAAGATGCAGCTCCGGCTTCTCCGTGACGATGATCTGGCGGCCCCGGACGACCTGGTCTGTGAGGGACGAGATGTGGGATATCCTGCTTGGCGACCAGCCACAGATGCGGAGAAAGCTGGTCCAGGCTGTTGGTCGCCAGCTCTGCCTTGAGGTACGTGTCGATATGCGGGTCGTTCAGTTGGACGCGAGGCTCTCCGGGCAGGTAGTCCTTCGTCTGGGCTGGCTCATCGCCTCGTCTGTTCTGCGCGGTTCTTTCGATGACGTGGAGTCCGCGGTCACGGCTAGTCATTAGGCTTTTATAGAGCTCCTTCTCAGTGCCAAACGGAGGCTGATTCATCGTCCTGTTGGGTGAAATGAGGTTTGGTAACTAAATTGAGGAGTTGAGAGGCTGCGGCTCAGTACAAATTAGCAATGGAACCTACTGGCGCAGAACGATGGGCCAAGCCAAACCCAATTAGGTCTTTCAGACGATAAATCTAGGCATCGTTCCATGCGTCAACATTTGCTGTAAGCCAATTGCCCGACACCCTCGTATCATCCAATTATGATTTGTTAATCTAGACTCTGCCAATTATCTTCTTCATGAGTGGGCCAGTGCGGCTGCAGCTTCGGCCTGTGCAGGGGGTGTGCGTGGTGTGTTGACAGGGGCGCAGTTGAGGAGCTTCATTCTGCCACCCTAGCTATAATTGCCACGATCCAATGCTTTTCTGACACTCCCTGCAAAACTCTCCCATCCCTTGCCTCTAATTTTCCATCATTGCAAAATACAATTTGCTCCTGTCTTTGGTGTTGGTTTCTTGTCCTGAGAATTGCTTTCTTCATATTTTCTAAGGTGGCTATATTGACTAGATATGATACCTGATAAGCAAACGACACTCTCAAAAAGGCTGTGACACAATCATAGGAGCAATGCAAGCTGAACAGCATAACTTTACCATTACGAAAGGAACCCCAGCTTCTTCCCTAAACAAATTTGCAACGCTTGATGTAAACAAGGCAGACTACTTAGCCAACATGGCTTCGTCTGACACTCGTGTCTTTCAGCTCGGAGAGGCACAGCAATAGGATAGGGTCTTGGTAGATACGCCAGAGGATGACAGGAAATTTGGTCTCAGACCTTAGTTTTTCTACAATGGGTCCAATCTAAACAGCCTCTGCGTAGGACCTATGAGAGTGGAGAATGGCAGCCTTACCTCCCCTGCTGTGGCTTTGAGGGTCTCGTGCCTACTAAATACCCCTTTCCTCATGCTGGTCTCGCCTGCATGTAATGTAGTCGGCAACGCTGAAGGAACAGACTTGGAAGCTACGTTCTGCTGACATGGCAGAGCTCTGCTGTCTTGCTAGGCGTAGATGTCACTGTAAGCGAGATTATGATAGAGGATTCAAGGGATATGCTAGGATTGGCTAAGGATAGCTTTTTTTCATACGCGGCATTTTCAGGGAGTGTCGTTTTGAGACAGATGAGGTGTCTAGGCAGGATATTTGCTTGCAGGTTTGGATGGTCGCGAAGGCAAGGCAGACTTGGAGCCTGAGATGAAAGGTAACTTGGCTACAGTAATCTGAGAAGGTGCCTCACCAGCCTAGCAGACGCGAGCCAGAGGGGAGTCTAAAGCATTATAGGCCAGGTCCCTATGCCCAGGCTCTAGCAAGAGAATACTAGTTCCCAGACTTGGTGGCCTATAACGCCTTGCAAGCTTTTTCGACGGACGAGGAGCTTTGGATTTCATCATGTCGGATGCGATCTCTTCTTTGTGATGCTGTCAGCCATTGTATAGTGTGTGGGAAAATTCCCGGGAGACGGTGGGCTTCAGTCCTTCGGGATTCGAATTGCAGCGATGCGAGGAGCTGATGCTTCCCCCACCTGCCAAGCCGAACCGAGCCACCACAGCGGCTGACCTAATCACTAATGCCACCCATCGCCTCACTTCTCCCCGCAGGCGCTGTCAACAACTGCAATCGCCCTCTGACGTTGACTCTTCGCTGACGACGGGAGTTAGGTAGGTTTCACCATCCCCATCTCACGTGTTGTTTTGACCAGGGGCATCCTGGTGCATGGAGGCATTCCTCCCATCAACCACCAAGCAGACCTCAGCGTAGGAGCTACACCAGCTTCATCACCATCCATCTCGTGCCATGATGGGATTCTTCGCCACCCAACAAAATTGGCAAAACTTCTAATATTGATCTAAGGATCCTTCTTCCGGTCTCCTTATTCGCCTCCCGTTATCACGAGACCTCTAGACTCACCCAAGCACGCCTCCCCAAGCCACGTTCCCTGTCGACGTGTTGCCGCGATGGGATTAGAGTTGAATTTGACGTGTCTAGCCGAGGCGGAACTCTCCCCGCAAATAGATAGCTCCTATAATTACGACTAGTCGACCACCTTGCTGAATTAGTCGCCCCCTGTCCACCCACTTGGAAGGCCAGGCGACCCGGATGATGTTGAGCGACAACCTGGAAAACGCTACCCGGGCAAACTAAACCTTGCCAAGTCCGCCCCCACTTTTGGAGCCGCACGGCTTTCCCAGTACCCAAGTGCCAGGAACCATGCGGGGACTCGGACTGTGATACGCTGCGGACTGGTGACTACCTACCCCAGACCGCATGTAATAGGTAGCTGGATCCGTTCTGCTATTTGAGCTAGCGAGGAATCCACCTGTCACATGCGGTCTGGGGTAGCCACAGTCCGAGTCCCCGCAGAACCCTGGGCCACCTCGTTGCTACCTTCTCCCGCCCAAGGAAACAGGTTTCCATATCTAGATTAGAAGAGGCGAACAGAAAATGGCTTTATCAAACGACCAGACGGTCTGTGAAGCTCGGTTTCTCCCTTGACCCGAGTCAGAGATGACAAGCTCGAGCCCATCTCATGCTAGCGACAGGTATATCCTTGGCTGGTGGTCTAGAATTAAAACCAGCACTCTTGTAAGCGAGCTGAGGTTCGTGGGCCTCTGCTTTTGTTTCCCGGGCTGAGATACAAAACGAGCTGGTACCCCCTGCTTAAATGTGGTCCTTGAGAACGAGACCGACCAAATATTAATTCCAACTCCCCCATTTCTCTTCCCTTCTCCTCTGGTTAGTCCTCAAAAAGCAAACTTTTAATCGCTCCTCGCGTCCCCTGCTCCCTCCCGACATTACTTCTGGCGTGATGGATACCACCAAGCCGGAGGTTCCTGTCACGGAACACTCCTCTGCACATGACAATGCAGACACCAAATCCGCCTTTGAGAGCGCTGCGCCATCTGCCATCATTGGCGGCTTCGAGGCTGATATCGACGACCTACCTCCCGGCTACTTTACCAGTCGCTTCTTCCTGGGAACCTTCATGGCCATCGGCCTCGGCTTGCTCGCAGGAGTGGGCGCATTTGTGAGTAAACTCCTGGATACCCAGATACATAGCTACGAGGGCGAGCGGGAATATATCTGTTTTGCTAACAGCTCGCAGGGATACGCGGCACCGATCCTGTCCATGATCAACGAAGACGTCGGTCCGGATCCGCGGTACACTTGGATTTCCCTCGTATATAACGCCTCGCTGGCGGTTTGCATCGCGCCTCTCGGGCGCATTACCGATATCTTTGGCCGGCGGTATTGGTTCATCGGGAGCGGCGTGCTCAGCGTCGTCGGTAGTATCGTGTGTGCCACCGCCACCTCCATCCCGATACTGATCGGGGGCAACGTCCTTCTTGGCGTCGGCACAGCCTCCCAGATGTCATTCCATTATGTGCTCGGGTAAGTCGTTTCTTAGGAAGGGATGTATATACCCCTATGGCCCCAGATGACTCACAGCTTCCCAACAGAGAGATCGTCCCGATCAAATACCGGTACATGGCCAGCGCAATTGTCTACGCGTGCTGCATCCCCGGATCCGGTATTGCGCCCGTAATATCATATGCCTTCATCCAGTACTCGTCGGTTGGCTGGCGCGGCGTCTACTGGCTGCTCCTCGGCATCAACGGCCTGGCGCTGGCGTGCTGGGTGCTCTTCTACTTCCCCCCCACCTTCGACAAGAAGCACCGCCACGATGAGAACGCCAGCAAGGCCTACTGGGTCAAGAACTTTGACTACGTCGGCACTTTCCTGTTCGCTGCTGGTATCGTCCTCTTCCTCATGGGCTTGAGTTGGGGAGGCAGCGTCTACCCTTGGGTCTCGGCGCCGACCCTCTCGGCCATTTTCATCGGGTTCGCCTTGTTGATCGTCTTTGCGCTTTGGGAGATTTACGCCCCTATCAAGGAGCCCTTGATCCCCGTTCACCTGTTCAAGAACTTAGAATGGTAGGTGGTGGCCGCACCGATGCGAACTTCTTGCCCATTCGTTCCCCGCCGTACATGCTGGACTTTGCTGACATCTGACGTTCGAAACCAAAGGGTGGTTGCAGTTCTACTGATGAGCCTCGGAGCCAGCATCTACTATGGCTTCGCTATTGTCTGTAAGTTTTTTGATCGGCCCCGGGTCAAACAAGTGAAACCCTCGAGTTCTAAACGTCGTCTTCAGGGCCCGCACAATGTGCCGTGTTGTACAACACTGGAGACTTGGTGTATCTCGGCGCCATCTCTAGCGTCATCGGACTGGCGGTCATTGGTGGCCAGGTGACGGGTGGTATTCTGGCCAACCGCATCGGCCATGCCCGGTACCAGATCATGGCAGTCTTCTCGCTTGCCGCGGTATTTCTAGGCTGTAAGTTTGCGCGGGGGGGGGGGGGGGGGGGGGGGGGGGGGGGGGGGGGGGGGGGGGGGGGGGGGGGGGGGGGGGGGGGGGGGGCGGGGGGGGGGGGGGGCGGGCGGGGGGCGGGCGGGG